AGCCCAACCATTCCCAACCATTCCCAACCATTCCCAACCATTCCCATGATTCCTGCTCAGCATCCTTGGAGCCCAACCATTCCCAACTATTTCCAACCATTCCCAACCATTCCCAGCCACTCCCACAATTCCTGCTCAGTGTCCCTGGAGCCCAACCATTCCCAACCATTCCCAACCATTCCCACAATTCCAGCTCGATGTCCCTGAAGCCCAACCATTCCCAGCCATTCCCAACCATTCCCAACCATTCCCATGATTCCTGCTCAGTGTCCCTGGAGCCCAACCATTCCCAGCCATTCCCAGCCATTCCCAACCATTCCCAGCCATTCCCAACCGTTCCCAACCACTCCCAACCATTCCCAACCATTCCCACAATTCCTGCTTGGGGAGTTCAGAGGGTCTTTCCCTAATCCCAACCCCTGGGAATCTGTGCCCGAGATCTTTCCCGGAGATTTGGGCTTTTTTTTGGGACGTGCCCGTTCCGGAGGCACCGGGACGTCGGAGAGGACAAAATCAAGCACTTCCATCTTCCCAGGTTAAGCTGGAAGAGCCAAGGGGGATTCCCGGGAATCCAATCCCCAGGATGTGCCGGTTGGAGCTTCTCTGGGGTCGAGGAATGCCGGGAACGAGCCCCGTCAGGAGCCTGGAGCAGCAACTCCGGCTGAATCCATGGATTTCAAGCACAGGCTCTCCATCCCTGGCGCGTTTCCCGACTCCAGGAGATCCCCAAAAAAGCAGCTTTGTGGGATCAAAGGCTCCCCAAACCTCTCCAGTCCGTGGGTTGAGCATCCCGGGAGACGTTCCCAGGGGAAGCCACAATTTCCCTGGCGGTTTTCTCCCCTTCTTCCCTTTTTTTTTTTTTTGGGAAGATCCAGGCTGGGAGAGCAGGTGGGTGGGTGCCATAAGCCTGCGGAGCATCCGCTGCTCCGGGATTTTCCAGGTCCCTGCAGGAATTCTCGGCCCTCCTCCCATAAAAAAAGGCCTCCCCGGAGCGAAGCGAAGCCGAGGAAGGAGCCGGAGTTTTTTGGGAAAAACCCATCTGGGATATCCCTCTGGATCTTCCCGGCGTGACCTCGACCGATCCGATCTCTCGGCATCCCGGATTTCCCCGGATGTTGGATTTTCCACCCTCTGTGGATCCTCTTCCTCGACAATTCCTTTGGCTCCGACTTTTCCCGTCCGTGCCGGGTCTGGCCCCACCTCCCCCCCGGAGGAGTTTTCCATCCGATCCGACTGCTGGAACGGCGCTGTTTGGATCCCCCCGGAATTGCGGGGGTCGGAAAAGCCTTCCCAAGATCACAACAGACTCCACGAGCTCCTCCAGCCCTTAAAATTCCTCATTCCCGCCAGGTCCCGAAGCTCTCGGCCGGATATTCGGGAACGGTCACGAGTGGGAAACACATTCCCGGCAGGAAAATCGAGATTCCGCTCCCGTTTCCTCCGTCCATCCTCAAATATTTTTGGGAAAAAAAAAAATTCCAGGCCGGGGCTGGAAGGTGAAACGGGGTGGGGGGGAGTTTGTTCCTTTTTTAATTCCCTTTCCGTGGATTCTCCGCTTCCCACGGGGGATCGGGCGGGGGATTTGTCCGACGTCGCCATTCCCGTGACGTAATTCCAGGGAAAGCCGGGCCGGGAGTTGGGATGTGATTGAGGGGACGGAGCTTTGCCGGGCGAGGGATTAAGTTGGGATTAGGAGCCGGGATTTCGCTTCTATTCCGGGCTTTTCCGTCCCTGGTTCACTTTCCCCCGGAGTTAAAAATAACCGGGATGACGCTCTCGGAGCCGCCGCTGCCGGAGCCGGAGGGGAACGAAACTCCGGGATTTAGGGATTTAGGGGTTTAGGGAGGGGTTGGGGGTTTTTTTAGTGAATTTATGGGATTCGGTTGTTTTTCCGGAGGGTTCCCAAGTTAAAGCTGCCGGGGGCGAGTTTGGGAAAATTCCGGATGGGGAAAAAAAAAATCGCCTTTCTCGACGGAAAAAATCACCTTTGGAATTCGGGAAAACGACTTCAGGGGTGGGAAATGGCTCTTAGGGAGGGAAAAATCCCTTTTAGGAAGGGAAAATTGCCTTTATCCGTGGAAAATCGGCTTTGCTATTGGAAAATCAAATTTATTAATGGAAAATCCCTTTTATTCGTGGAAAATCACCTTTATTCGTGGAAAATCACCGTTATTCGTGGAAAATCCCTTTTATTCGTGGAAAATCACCGTTATTCGTGGAAAATCGGCTTTGTTGTTGGAGAATCGCCTTTATTAATGGAAAAATCCCTTTTATTAATGGAAAAATCCCTTTCATTAATGGAAAATCAAATTTATTAATGGAGAATCAACTTTGTTATTGGAGAATCAACTTTGTTATGGGAAATCCCTTTTATTAATGGAAAAATCGCTTTTATTCATGGAAAAATCACTTATTAGTGGAAAATCAACGTTTATTAATGGAAAAATCCCTTTTATTTATGGAAATTGGACTTTAATATTGGAAAATCCCTTTTAATAATGGAAAATCGGCTTTATTAATGGAAAATCGGCTTTGTTAGTGGAGAATCAGCTTTATTAATGAAAAATCCCTTTTATTAATGGAAAAATCCTTTTTATTCACGGAAAAATCACTGATTAGTGGAAAGTCAACCTTATTAATGGAAAAAATCCCTTTTATTAATGGAAAATCGCTTTTATTTGTAGAAAATGATCTCGGTGGAGAATCAACTTCATTAGTGGACAGAGCACGTGGAGGGAGGGGGGGATTTTAGGGCCGTTCCTTCAAAACCTCCTGGGAATGAAGTTCGTTTTTCCCGACGTTTTCCTGCCGTGTCCGGGCGCGGAGCTCCGCGTTTTCCACAGGATCCCGTGACGAAAACACGGAGCAAGGGAGGGTTTGCTCCTTTGGGAGAGGCCGAGTCCAAAACTCAGCTCAGAGGTTCCATCCTGCGCCTCCAAGTGCTTTATTTTCCGTGTTTTTCGATGTTTCTCCAAGGAATTTGTCTCCGGAGCAGATCGATGGTGGGATCTTCTCCCCCTTCTGGGAACGAGGGGATGTGGGTTCGGGGCTTTTTGGGATTTGCCTCTTCCAGCGGTGGCTTTGACCATCCGTGGGATGAAGCCGTGGGATGTTTGGGATCCCTTGGGGTGGTTTAAGGGGGGGATGTGGCTCGGGAAGGGTTGGAAGTGAAGTTGGAGACCCGGGCGGGGCTCGGTCACCCTCTGCTGAACCATCCCAAAGAAACAATTCCCGATTCCCAGGAGGTGGGAGCAGATCCCGGGAGCGGAACCCGGAGCGGGGGAGCTCCGGAATCCCTGCGGATTCTCCCTGGCTGATCCCGGAGGAGGCACCGGGAGGTCGTCGTTGTCCTCCTCGGTAACTCCTCGGTAACTCCTCGTCCCCGATTTTTGTGGTCTGAAAAATAAAAGCTGGACACGACTCCGGCGTGGGGAAAACTGGAAATGCTTTATGGAACACGAGAACTGCGTTTTAAAGGCATCTGGGTCTGGACATGTCAATGAAGGGGACAGCCTGTGTTAACTGGGGAGTTACACAACAGTTTTTAGCTGCAATTTCCAAGGAGTTAATTTTTCTTCGAGCAGGATTCCGTGGGGGGGGTGGGAGGGGTAGAGGGATCGCAGGGGTTTGGACGTGGTTTTGACAATCACCCCTCAAAATGTCCTTTCTTTAAAATTCTTCTTGGAGCCAGGTTCGTATCTCCGGGTTTCACATCATCAACAGGTCTCTGGACAAGGGTCCAAACTTCTGGAGTCACGAGACGTCTTCCGAGGTTTGTGATTCGGAATTTACGGAGCCTCCTTTGGCTGAGAGCTGGTTTTTGTCCCCTTCGTTGCAGTTCGTCGCCTTCCGGAGTGTTCGAGAAGGAGTATGAGATTTACCGGGATTACAGCGCCGAGGGGCAGCTCCTGCACTACAGGTATCCCAGAATTCCCCTTCCGGGATGGGCGTTGAATTCCCGCTTTTTTTCCGAGCCTCCTTCCTGCCCTTTCCCCTCCCTGGGCTGCCTTTTGTAGAGTGGGATCGTTCCGCTTGGGATTGTTCCGCCTCCGCGGGGTCTCGGGGGGGAAAACCTCCCGGGGGGTGGGAAAACCTCCCGGGAAATGACCCTTCTCCCGGGAAAACGAGCCACCTCTCCCGAGCTGCGGATCCGACTCGTTTTCGGGACGGAGAGGAGGTTTTTCCCGCTCGGATTTCGGGCGCCGAACCCAAAGCGCCGCCTCCGACTTCCGTGGATTTCGTGGAATCGGGGAATCGCGGGATGGTTGGGGTCGGAGGGCGCCGTGAAGATTCACATTCCCTTCCCCTGGAACGTTCTTCCTGCTGCTCCAGGCGGAAAAAAATTCCCTCCCCTTTGTCCCGTGATTCGCCGGCGCCGAGTGACCGTCCGGGAGCATCGGGATGAGTCGCCACCGAGGGAAAATTTGGGGAAAAGGAGCCTTGTGGGAGAGGGGGGTGGGACCTGGGGCTTTTCCTGGGAGGGTTGACGTTCTCCGGGGGCGTCGGATGCGCTCGGAGAGACCTTTCCATGGACAAATTTCCAAGTGGGGAAACCCTGGGATCCGTCTGCTTCCAGACTTCCAAGTGGGAAACCCTGGGATCTGTCTGCTTCCAAACTTCCAAGTGGGAAAGACTCCGGGGTGGCCTTGGCAGTGCTGGGGGGGCGGGGGTGGACTCGTTGGGCTCAGAGGGATTTTCCCACCTGGATGATTCCATCATTCCATGATTCCACACCTCCCACCATCCCATGATTCCACACCTCCCACCATTCCAGGTGGCTCCAGCCTGGCCTTGGACACTCCCAGGGATGGGGCAGCCACGGTTTCTCTGGGAATTCCACCCCGGCCCCTCCCCACCACCCCCGGCAGGAATTCCTTCCCCGTGTCCCACCTATCCCTGCCCTCCGGCAGTGGGAAGCCATTCCCTGTGTCCTGTCAGGGACGGATGATCCGGGCTGGAGATCCCGGAGGGTGTTGGGAATGCGGAGGGGGCTGAGCTCCGGGGGCTGTGAAATTCCATCTGGGATAAACAGGAGCTGAAAATCACCATTTTTGGAGCCCCCTCCGGGGGCGGATTCCCTGTGGGCGGATTCCCTGTGGATTCCCTGCTATTCCGGGAAATGTCACTGCTGGTCCCTTTGTCCTTCCCGGCGGATTCCTCACGGCGGCTCCCTGGGCTCCCTTCCCAGAATTCCCTCCTCCCGCTCGGAAACAAAGCTCCCCTCTTGCTCCGGTGACATTTGGATCTTGGAAAAGAGGCTCTTTTTTGGGAGAGAAGCTCGGAGCGGCTCCCGGGAATCCGGCTCCGTGCCCTTCCCGGATGGATCGCGTGGGCCTCGTGCTCCCTCCTGGTGTGTTCCCGAGGAGGTCGGTGGGCAGGAAGGTCCCTGTCCGAGCCCAGGACTCCTCAGGAACCCTTTTCCAAGATCTTTTTGGTGTTTCCTCACCCTCCACATCCCATAAAATCCTTTCGCCGTGGATTCGTGGCCTCCAGAACTTCCGGAGCTTTCCGCCACCCCCGGTCGGATCCGTCGTCTCAGCTCTGTCTCAGGGTCCTGCTTCTCCCAAAAAACCCGGCTGGAATGGGATGGGGAGGGATGGGAAGTCTCATTGCCTCCCTCTCATCCCGATTCAGCCGCAGGAATGGGAACGGGAGAGGAATTTCCCGTCGGAATTCGGTGTCGAGGGCCCAGAGCTGGAAGCTCCGCCCGGAGACGAGGGGTTGGACGATCCCTGAGGGTTCCACCTTCTCCTTTGGGGATAAAAAAAAATTAGGGAAATTTAAAAAAAAAAAAAACAACAACAACACCCAAAGTTGGCTTTGGAGAGGTTTAAT